AGGAGGTGGTGAGGCTCCTCCTCGCCCCGCCTGCGGGGAGATGCAACCTTCACTTCGTCGTCGACGGGGAGTGCGTCGTGGAACCGGCGGTGATGGATCGCTTCAGGGTTCTAAATATATATTATATAAATATACCATTCGGATTGATACCCCGTTCCGTCCAAAATGCGGTCGAACGGTTACATTATTTCTAAGACCCGCAGAGTTCCAAAGTTTCGATGAGAGAGGAAAAAGTTTATGGACGGCTGGAAACTTCTACTTTAGAGTCGCATTTTTACCCTGGAATCCGCAAGGGAACTTTCTACCTTAATATTGCACCGAGGTCTCTTGAATTATCTACGTTAAAAATTGTGTGTTCTCATCGACTGGCAGGTTTTCTTGAAGTGTTCTCAGGAATTAAGCCGACTTGCATCTGCAGTACGCTTGCACAGGCATGGTGGCAGTGCAAGGGGTCATATCAAAGGGGTCATATAATAGGGACCAACTAAGCTGAGAATGCCAGTGGGTGGTGAAAGATGCAGGGGAATGCTTTGTAATTCTCCCATACGTTCAATTTTGGGCAAATTGTGGAACGAATTACAGGACGGAGATTTTCGCAGTATTGAAGGCCTTAGAATGATGACGGGAGTTCGGTCTCGTTTCGCGGCCTTTCTTCTCCTCTGCAATGCAAACGTGCACTTGCGTGTCCAGGTGACCAATGGGTTGGTATTCCTCCCTTTCGTTACGGTGAGTTCTCGTTCCGACCGGAATCGGACGGGGGATTCGAGTGGATTTCGATGCCGGAGAAGATGGTGAAGATCCTCCTCGCCCCGCATGCGGGGAGGTGCGACCTTCACTTCGTCGTCCACGGGGAGAGTCTCGTGGAATCGGCGGTGGAGGGTCGCTTCAGGGTTCTTTGACCCGAGTTGCGCGTCGACGACAAAAAAAAACAAAAAAAACAACAAAAAAAACATTTTCCCCAACAAAGTGATTACTGTTCCTTAAATTAAAATGAAATTAGGGAACAGGAGCCCGCATCACCACGCTCAAGGAACACCATGTCGAGGAATGAGGGAGAAGATTATTTCAGCTCATAGGAAATGGAGATGAGGTTTATGACCATCGCTGGCCTGTCACCTCCCACGCCATCCCACAGCCGGCTACTACGATCTCAGAGAATGGTATCTCCACAGTCCATTTTCCTATTATTTCAAGCCATCTTTCAGATCTCATTTTCGGACATGCTGGCGCATGTCCCAAGAAGGAGAACGATGCAAGAGAATTGGGGTGAGATGCACCAAATTAGCCTTCATGAATATGCTGTTTATATATAAATTTACGTGCATTTTTTTGACGTTCACATGATGTTTTGAAAAGGTATGACAACGCTGATGTTGGGAGGCGATGAATGCAGATCGTGGGAAGTGAAAGGAGGTGTAAAAAAAAATAGGGGAGTTCCTTCCCTCTATCAAATAAGAGACCAGATGGAGGTGAGGGATTTTTAAGAATTGCTTTCTATTGGAGTGAGCCCTCAGAAGAAAGAGGGGAAGGGAGACGCTGTGCGACACCTTCGCCCTAGCTCAATTTTCAGGGGAGGGTAGTAACCCCTTCGAGCCGAGTTGCATGAGCAGTGCGCTTGCCCAGTCGTCGGGACCGTACAAGGGGGCATAGAAATTAATAAAGACCAAGTAAGCAGAGTATGACAGTGGGTGATGAGAGATGCACGTGAATGCTTCGTATTCCTGCGATGTGTTCAGCTGTTGGACAAATCCAGGGGAGAATTATAAGATTTTAAGATTTAAGAGTTTTTCTTGAAGCAAACACTTTGGAAGAAAATCATGACGGGAGTTGGGTCTCGTTTCGCGCCCTTTCCTCTCGCCTGCCATCCGAATGTGCAGTTTCGTGTGCTGGTGACGATCGGGCTCGTGTTCCTCCCTTTAACTGCGGGTGAGTTCTCTTTTCCACCGGTATCGGACAGGGGATTCGAGTGGATGTCCATCACGGAGGAGGCGGTGAGGATCCTCCTCGCCCCGCTTGCGGGCAGGTGCGACCTTCACTTCGTCGTCGACGGGGAGAGCGTCGTGGAATCGGTAGCGGTGGGTCGCTTCAGGGTTCTTTTGCCAGAATTCGGCGTCGACGACCCCGCATGCGGGGAGGTGCGATCTTCACTTCGTCATTGACGGGGAGAGCGTCGTGGAATCGGCAGCGGTGGGACACTTTAGGGTTCCTTTGTCAGAGTTCGGCGTCGACGACCAGAGTTATTATCGAGTTGTAGACGTCATAGACAAGAGGGTGAGGCTGCGATTCCGCAAGAAGAAAAGCAGAGGAAATGGGAGGGATCGGTCCGAAATGCACTTGCATCGACGGCATCTTCGGGGATGTGCTCTAGGAAGGGCGGACGTGGCGTTCGCAGACCTCGACTTCATATACCACAGGTCCCAGACTCTGGACATGCTCGTCTACGACTACGAGTGCACCATGATTGCCGTGCCTGAGCAGAACGACTTGCTTGTTTACTCTCATCCATATCGTCGAATATCAAATAGGCTCAAGCAAGCTTTTTCTTTCTTGTATCTCTCATTTCGTGCAAGCGAGATTTTCGATTTCTCGTTCGAGGTATATCATTTTTCTGGGGGGTTTTTATCATCATAATATGCGGCGTAATTGCATTTTTTTTTTAAGATTTCACGATTTTTATGGAGTTGCTCCAAGAGTACACGAAAAAGGCCAGAAATAATATTTGTTCACGAGAACACAAAGGGCTACAACACCGAATGCCATTCCGCAACACAATTTGTACATCCTTTTGCAAACCCAATCTGTTCTCGGGGAGGGAGTCCTTGTTCCATGGCTACGTCTGGGGTCATTTTCCAAATACTTTGCGGTTCATGTTATTACTGCCTTATGGTTTTCTTTTGGAACCAGGGTGGAAAACGATACTATGCGTGCTGATCAATTGCGCAGTTGAGACTAATCAGGCATTAACGAATGCACTTCGCTGGTATGGAGGAAATATCACCATGAAACGGGAGAGTGAAAATTTGCACGGTTGAGAAGTATTGCATCAACCTCTCCAAACCTTTCCCACTCCTTAGAGAGCAAGGGGTCCCCCCCCCCCTCCCTCCCCTATTCCCCTTTGTGGGCACCCGGTTTTAAAATCTATAATGAAAGTCATTCATAACTGAAAACATTTACAAAGACCCAAATTCCTCATTATCTTAGTATACTTTCATCTCTAGTGATTCAACGTAGCATTCGTGATTCCGCGCCGTCCCTACTTCAAGGACCTCCTGAAACGAGTCACAACGAGACTGCGTGAAGGACCGCTGATCCCACAATGGTGGAAGGAACTGCTGGAGGAAAAGTGAGCATGGCCAAGCTGGAGGAGATTGAAATAACCCAGGCGCTTTGCCTGGGTGCTTCTGAATCCCTTACCGAGACAACTATATTCCTCGTGTTCCTCCCTTTAGCTGTGAGGGGATTCAAGTGGATGTCGATCGCGAAGGAGGTGGTGAGGCTCCTCCTCGCCCCGCCTGCGGGGAGATGCAACCTTCACTTCGTCGTCGACGGGGAGTGCGTCGTGGAACCGGCGGTGATGGATCGCTTCAGGGTTCTAAATATATATTATATAAATATACCATTCGGATTGATACCCCGTTCCGTCCAAAATGCGGTCGAACGGTTACATTATTTCTAAGACCCGCAGAGTTCCAAGGTTTCGATGAGAGAGGAAAAAGTTTTTGGACGACTGGAAACTTCTACTTTGGAGTCGCATTTTTACCCTGGAATCCGCAAGGGAACTTTCTACCTTAATATTGCACCGAGGTCTCTCGAATTATCTACATTAAAAATTGTGTGTTCTCATCGACTGGCAGGTTTTCTTCAAGTATTCTCAGGAATTAAGCCGACTTGCATCTGCAGTACGTTTGCACAGGCATGGTGGCAGTGCAAGGGGTCATATCAAAGGGGTCATATAATAGGGACCAACTAAGCTGAGAATGCCAGTGGGTGGTGAAAGATGCACGGGAATGCTTCGTAATTCTCCCATATGTTCAATTTTGGGCAAATTGTGGGACGAATTATAGGACGGAGATTTTCGCAGAATTGAAGGCCTTAGAATGATGACGGGAGTTCGGTCTCGTTTCGTGGCCTTTCTTCTCCTCTGCAATGCAAACGTGCAGTTGCGTGTCCAGGTGACCAATGGGTTGGTATTCCTCCCTTTTGTTACGGTGAGTTCTCGTTCCGACCGGAATCGGACGGGGGATTCGAGTGGATTTCGATCCCGGAGAAGATGGTGAAGGTCTTCCTCGCCCCCATGCGGGGAGGTGCGACCTTCACTTCGTCGTCGACGGGGAGAGTCTCGTGGAATCGGCGGTGGAGGGTCGCTTCAGGGTTCTTTGACCCGAGTTGCGCGTCGACGACAAAAAAAAAATAAACATTTTCCCCAACAAAGTGATTACTGTTCCTTGAATTAAAATGAAATTAGGGAACAGGAGCCCGCATCACCACGCTCAAGGAACACCATGTCGAGGAATGAGGGAGAAGATTATTTCAGCTCATAGGAAAAGGAGAACGATGCAAGAGAATTGGGGTGAGATGCACCAAATTAGCCTTCATGAATATGCTGTTTATATATAAATTTACGTGCATTTTTTTGACGTTCACATGATGTTTTGAGAAGGTATGACAACGCTGATGTTGGGAGGCGATGAATGCAGATCGTGGGAAGTGAAAGGAAGTGTAAAAAAAATGGGGAGTTCCTTCCCTCTATCAAATAAGAGACCAGATGGAGGTTGATGGATTTTAAAAAAATGCTTTCTATTGGAGTGAGCCCCCAGTGGACAGAGGGGAAGAGAGACGCTGTGCGACACCTTCGCCCTAGCTCAATTTTTAGGGAGGGTAGTAACCCCTTCGAGCCGAGTTGCATGAGCAGTGCGCTTGCCCAGTCGTCGGGACCGTACAAGGGGGCATAGAAATTAATAAAGACCAAGTAAGCAGAGTATGACAGTGGGTCATGAGAGATGCACGTGAATGCTTCGTATTCCTGCGAGGTGTTCAGCTGTTGGACAAATCCAGGGACGAATGATAAGATTTTAAGATTTAAGAGTTTTTCTTGCAGCAAACACTTTGGAAGAAAATCATGACGGGAGTTGGGTCTCGTTTCGCGCCCTTTCCTCTCGCCTGCCATCCGAATGTGCAGTTTCGTGTGCTGGTGACGATCGGGCTCGTGTTCCTCCCTTTAACTGCGGGTGAGTTCTCTTTTCCACCGGTATCGGACAGGGGATTCGAGTGGATGTCCATCACGGAGGAGGCGGTGAGGATCCTCCTCGCCCCGCTTGCGGGCAGGTGCGACCTTCACTTCGTCGTCGACGGGGAGAGCGTCGTGGAATCGGTAGCGGTGGGTCGCTTCAGGGTTCTTTTGCCAGAATTCGGCGTCGACGACCAGAGCTTTTATCGGGTAATGCATATCATGGACGAAGGGGTGGGGTTACGATTCCGCAAGAGGAAATGCACCGCTTTCGTCGCCTTCGTCTACGGGAACTCCGCCATGAAGTTGTTTTACATCCGGAATCTGATCGCGAAGACGGACTCCATGCGACTCTTGCTCCTCACGAACGAAAGTCAAACATTTCTATCTGCGTTTCGTCACATCAAAGGTGTCGGAATCCTGGATACCGAGGGCCTCCTTTTTCACTACCATCGATTGCCATCTTTTACTTGGAGGACCAAGGATTTAAAAGCGCCCGGGGCGGCGAAGCATTTGAGTCGTCTCCAGTCGGACTTTCTCAAAGATTTCAAGATCCGAGACTTGGGAAGCGCGACGTTGACGACGTCCTCCCTTTCCTTCTATTTCCCCTTCACGTCTTGGACCACACTGGAAAACGGAACGCAGATTCAAACTGGACTGGAGCACAGGATCCTGCGAGAACTCCAGAAACATCTCGGATTCCACCTGGAACACCGTCTTCCGTTGGACGGGACTTGGGGTGGGATCAGTCCGAACGGCACTTACATCGACGGGATCGTGGGGGATGTTTTCTACGGAAGGGCGGACGTGGCGTTCGCAGACCTCTACTTCATATACGATAGGTCCCAGGCTCTGGACATGATCGTTTACGACTACGAATGCACCGTGATTGCTGTGCCCTGGCCGGATCTCCCCAGCTGGCTTACTCTCATTTACATCTTCGAATATCGCGTAAGTCCATCCAAGCTTTTGCTTTTGTGAATCCATTTTTTCGTGCGTGCGCGACGTTCCGTTTCCTTTCTCGTTCAAGGTTTTTTCCCCATCATCCCATGTGTCGATGATGCTATTTTTTTGGATTTGACGGTTTTTGCATTGTTGTGCGAATAGTTCACAAAAAACGCCAAATGTTAATTTGTTTATTAGATCACAAAGAATGGGGTAAAATACTGAAAGGCATTCCCGAAAAAAATTACAGTCAAGCAGCCTGTTTTGTTTTAATTTTCTTTTCTTCGTGGCAAGCTCCCTGACATGGAGGTTTTCGAGCTCAGATGCGATCAACATTAAATCGAGAGTTAAACAATTCAGATTTTCGAACGACCTGTAGGAGAGAAGAGAAATACCAGTCTGCGTCCGATTTCCACTTCCTAAGAACTTCAATTTTTTGCACATCTTCCTTCCTCGATCGTAACAAAAACTTTCACGGGCCGGATGCGACCTGCTCTCTCAGGAGTTTGCTACAGAGCTGAAAAGAAGAAAGGTTAGCTCCCCGGGTCAAGGACCCCCTCGTCCCTCGCCCAAGCGAATGATAAGAGTGGTCTCAGGCGCCTTCGTGGAGGAGCGGATTAGGAAGTTCCTCACAACTGCGGGTCGTGATCGCCGGGCAACGAAGAGACAATGTTCACCTGAAGGACGTATATATGCGATGCCGAGCCATCGTACTCCATAATTGCAATTGTCCCAAGAAATCCCATTTATTGCCAAAATGGAGAGTTAGAAAATTCGGGCGGGAAGATGGTGATGGTCAACGGACTTTCTCTGACACAGGTGTGGATCGTTTTGGGCTTCGTCTTCTTCGTCGTAATCGTCGCCAATAGATTCGTACTATGCAGGGCAAGTGAATTCGGAGCGAAACCCCTTTCGACCCTCGAGGTGATAGCGGTGCTGCACACGCGACAGATACCCAAGAACTTCAACGTCTACAGCGCCTCCACAAAGGTCTTCATCACCGTCGTCTCCTTCTTCGCGCTTATACTCAGCATCAACTACACCAGCGGGCAACTGTCCCAGTTCACCGTGATCAAGAAGATGAGGCCCATTTCCAGCTTCGAGGAACTCGCCTCCAGTAGATTCCCTGTCCTAAGGAGCGGAATGCTGGACATCTCGCTCAACAACGAGGCCGGGAAAAGATTTCAGGCCCTAAATAGTTGGGGGCTGAAACAGTACCCCATGCCGGACGAGGCGCTAGCGTACGTGGCCAGGGGAGACTCGGCATACTTCGATTCGGGGACGGTCTTGAAGCTCTATCAATTCCTCAAATTCACTGATTCGCGCGGACGGTCACCCGTGTTCATCCCGGAGGAATGCGTTCAGGTGAGAAAAAAACATGAAAGTTGAATATGTGACATACACCAAGCGATTCTTGCTCTTTCACTTCATACCGGAACCCTTCCTTACAAACACATATTGAAGTCACGACCTTAACTTTTTTATAATTCTAAAGGGTGCATGTCACTCAAAACCTCGGCCAATTACTAATTTCGCAAATATTCATTACCCATGCATATTTTTCCTCCAACAGGGATACTTAGTAGGATTCGTGATTCCACGCCATGCATACTTTAAGGACCTGCTGAAGCGGGCCATATCGGGGCTGCAGGAAGGATCGCTGATCCCACAATGGTGGAAGGAACTGCTGGAGGAAGAGAGGAAGGCCAAGTTGGAAGAGATTGAAATCACCCAGGAGGCGGCAAAACCACCGAGGACGCTGAAACTCATGCAGTTGGCATGTGCCTTCATGTCACTTCTATGTGGATATGCTTTCTCCCTTCTTGCATTCATCTTTGAGATTCTACTGGCGAAGATGAAGAAGGGAAACGCTCTCCACTAATCTCAGAATTCTCGCTCTCAGCACTTAAACTAATCAAATGCATTTTCATTTACAGTTAAAAGTCATGACTGCACTGTAGGACTACTAGTGAGTACCGAGTAGTAAAAAAGTGGAAGCATTGTATATTTGGGAAATAATACCATGCAAATAAGAAATTGACATACTGTGGTTATTGCAAGATAAATGGGATATTTGTTGTATGACTTGAAATTTCTTTGTATGTTGTGTGCTCTGCTTGAAAATGGAATCTTCCTCGAGGAAGATCAACCTTCCTGTGCAAGCGTATTGCAGATGCAATTCGGCTTAATTCCAGCGAAGACTTCATGAAAACCTGCCAGTCGATGAGAACACCCCATTTTTAATGTATACAATTGATGAGACTTCGGTGCAATATTAAGACTGAAAGTTCCCTTGCGCGATTCCGAGGAAAAAATGCGACTCAAAAGTAGAAGTTTCCAGCCGTCCAAAAAAATTCATCTCTCGTATCGGTACTTTCGAACTCTCTTAGAAATAATGTAACCGTTCGACCGCATTTTGGATGGAAAGGGGTATCAGTCCGAATGGTATATTCATAGAATACCTCAAAACCATGAAGCGATCCATCACCGCTGATTCCACGACGGTCTCCCCGTCCACAACGAAGTGATGGTCGCATCTCCCTGTATGCGGGACGAGGAGGAGTCTCACCGACTCCTTCGCGATCGACATCCACTTCAATCCCCCTTCCGATTCCGGTCGGAACAAAAACTCACCAATAGTTAAAGGGACCAAGACGAGCCCGATCGTCACCAGAACACGAAAGTTTGGATGGGAGGCGCGAGGATAGTGCGCGAAACGAGATCCAACTCTCGTCATGCTTTTCTTCTAACGTGTTTGCTGAGAAAAAAAGTAATGTCCTATGATACGCCTCTGAATTTTCCCCCAAAATTTGTCCCATAATTTGTGCCAAAGTTGAACACATATGAGAACTACGAAGCATTCACGTGCATCTCTCACCACCGACTGGCATACCCTGCTTAGTTGGTCTTTTTTAATTTTTATGCCCCCGGCGGGGCGGGGAATCAATGCGAACGGTATATTTATATCCTCAGGTTCGAGAAGTACGAGCTCCGCTGAAGAGACGGAATTAGAATTGGAAGAAATTCATTTGTAATTTACAATCAGTTTCATGTCTCGTGATATTCTGCGACCGCGGTTGCGCAGGGATTGCGGTCTCAGAACTCTTTCGGGATGCTCATTCGCATTTTTTCAATTTGAAAGAAAGTGAAGCTGCCCGCCTTTCTTCGCGTCTAGATATGCGCCGCATTCGGCGTGGGGAGCCGAGAAAGTGCGTTGAACGTTCCGTTCCGTTCGGTTCCTCCCTTTTCATTCAACGATAGCATGATCACACTTCATGGATGCTTTTGAAAATGCGCAGGGGCAACGGTTTCTCCTTGCCAGGCGTATGGAGTCGGTGTGCCAACCCACCAGCGTGCAATCATGCGGGTTTCGTGGAGGTTCTATGAGTTCTATGAGTGATTTTTGCTATGCTCCTTTTCCTTTGATATAAGCGATGCGGTCAGGAAGCGAGCCGAAAAAACGTCTCAGATTGCAGGCTTCGAGCCCGAAACCCACTGAATTTTCAGTCCCAAACGACTCGGTTCGAGAGCCGCGATCACATCAGCCTCAGCCGGTTCGTGCGATCCGGGTAATCGATTTTTCCTTTCGAATGGATTGGCGGCTCTCCCTGCTGATTGCTGCCGAGTGGCTGCGACTGAAAGTCTGAAATCTGGCTCTTTTGTGGGAGACGGATTTCATTTTTCGACTCCCTATCGGTCCTCTCGATTGATTCGCTGAGAACTCCTAGGTCTATGTTCGATTCTAATGGTTGAAAACTTTGATTTTGAATTCGTTTCATTAAAGCGCAATTGAAATGATATTATAAAGGATATTATTGAGATTCATGATGTAATGAAATGATCATGACATCTCAATAAATGACCATGGAATCTCATGAAATGGCTTAAAATTCCATGAAATGACCTTAAAATTCTATGAAATGGTCAGCCTCCATATAGGTACCGTTTGGACTGATGCCTCACCAAGTACAGTCGAATGGAAGACGTTGTTCCTGGAGGAATCCGTGATGTTTCTGGAGTTCTCGCTGGATGCGAGCTCCGTTTTGCTTCAAAACAAGGTGAGGGTGAGTTTTCCCGATTTTTTCCGTCTTAAATTTTTGACGTGATGACTGTGAAATGTGTGAGGAAAGAAATTTGGTAGGTTTTTAAGATGATAACTGATGAGAAAACTTCGAGGAAAACCAAGGACCTCTAAAACTGAAATTTTCACTTCCCAAAATGACGAATTTTTGGTGCCAGAGGTGACAAATAGACTCACCTTAACCTCTTTTTCTATTGCCTTACATTTTTCCCCCTGATTTTTTTTTAAATATACATTTCTTGTAAATGCTATGGTAAATATATACAGAGCATGTTCATCTTGTGCAGATGATGTCAGTTCATTTCAATTGCCTGATTCAGCCATGATATGTTGAACGTTTTTAGCAAATAGACTCCGCTATCGTAACATTGAACTTGAAAGAAAACGAACTTCTGTTAAAACAATTAAATACATTCCATATTCAAGAATAACATTAATACGACATATTTTCCAAAATACTTCGATCCAACAGCGATTATAATAGCCTGGTTTTATTTTTCAATACTCTGTATTGTCATCCAGAGCAACAAGAAGTGTTTTGTAATTACTTCAGCAATAAGAGCTCTTGCATTTCAGACACTTTCGTGCACATTGACATATGAGATAGCAAGCAAAGGAATTAAGCACGTTGGGAGCCTAATGTTTTTTTGCCATCTGAATCTCCAGTACGAATGTAAGAAAGGCGAGAACATACCCGCCAAGAAGAAGCACGAAGGCACAAGCCAACTGAATCAATGCTAGTTGTCTAGGTAGGGGATTCAGAATCACCCAGGCAAAGCGCATGGGTGATTTCAATCTCCTCCAGCTTGGCCATCCTCTCTTTTCCTCCAGCAGTTCCTGGAAGGAACTGCTGGAGGAGCAGCGCTCCTTCACTCAACCTCGATATGACTTGTTTCAGGAGGTCCTTGAAGTAGGGATGGCGCGGAATCACGAATACTACTTTGAATCACTTGAGAAGAAAGTATACTAAGATAATGTGGTATTTGTGTCCTTGTAAATGTTTTCAGTTATGAATACTTTCATCATAGATTTTAAAACCGGATGCCCACAAAGGGGAATAGGGGGGACCCCTTGATCTCCAAGGAGTGAGTAGGGTTTGGAGAGGTTGATGCAATCCGCCTCAACCGTGCATATTTTCACCCTCCCACGTTATGGTGACATTTCTTCCATACCAGCAAAGTGCATTCGTTGAGGCCTGATGAGTCCCAACAGCGCAATTGATCAGCACGCATAATATCGTCTTCCACCGGAGTTCCCTAGGAAAACCATGAGGCAGACCATGAGGCATGAGGAAACGCATTAGGGCATTAGGCATGAACGACAATGTATTTGGAATATGACCCCAGACGTAGCCATGGAACAAGGACCCCCTCCCCGAGAACAGATTGCGTTTACAAAAGGATGTACAAATTGTGTTGCGGAATGGTATTCGGTGTTGTAGCCCTTTGTATTCTCGTGAACAGATATAATTTCTGGCCTTTTTCGTGTACTGTTTGAGCACCCCCATATGAATAGTAAAATGTTAAAAAAAAGCAACTACGACGCATGCGATGATGACAAAAACCCCCCAGAAAAATGATATGCCTCGAACGAGAAATCGAAAATCTCGAAATGAGAGATACAAGAAAGAAAAAGCTTGCTTGAGCCTATTCGATATTCCACGATTTGGATGAGAGTAAGCCAGCACGTAGTTCCGCCCAGGCACGGCAATCATGGTGCACTCACAGTCATAGACCAGCAAGTCCAGAGTCTGGGACCTGTCGTGTATGAAGTCCAGGTCTGCGAACATCACGTCCGCCCTTCCTGGAACACATCCCCCATGATGCCGTCGATGCAAGTGCCTTTCGGACTGATCCCTCCCATTTCCTTTGCTTTTCGTCTTGCGGAATCGCAGCCTCACCCTCTTGTCTATGCCATCCACGACTCGATAAAAACTCTGGTTGTCGACCCCGAACTCTGACAAAAGAACCCTGAAGTAAACCACCGCTGCAGATTCCACGACGCTCTCCACGTCAACGACGAAGTGAAGGTCGCACCTCCCCGCATGCGGGGCGAGGAGGATCCTCACCGCCTCCTTCGCGATCGACATCCACTTCAATCCCCAGACCGATTCCGGTCGGAACGAGAACTCACCCACAGTTTAAGGGAGGAACACGAGCCCGATCGTCACCAGAACACGAAGGTTTGGATGGGAGGTGCGAGGAGAGCGCGAAACGAGACTCAACTCCCGTCATGCTTTCTTCTAACTTGTTCGCTGCGAAAAAAACAATGTCCTATGATTAACTTCTGGATTTGCCTCACAATTTGTCCCACAAATTGGTCCACATGTTGCTCCAAATTTTGTCTTGCAGTTGAACATATCTGAAGACCACGAAGCATTCCCGTGCATCTCTCATCTCCAACTGGCATTCTCTACTTGGTCTTCATTAGTTGCTTTGCCGACTTGCACGTTTCTGACGGCTGTGCAAGCGTACGGCGGACACAAGTCATTTAAAATCTCGCCTAGGCATGAGGCCATATTGCCGGTCGCTGAGAACTCTTTTTTTGTACTTGATAATTGATAAGACCTCGGTGCAATATATAATTAAGCTGGGAAGTTCACTTGCGAGTTCCGGAGTATGATGCTACTGGATGATAGAATTTTCCATGCAAATGAAAAATCCATTCACTCTTCTAAAAAGCCATCTTCACAAGCCCCATACCTCTTCTATCTTTGATGAGAGAGAGCCCCTCTTATGATTTACTCCTCCGCCCGAGGCTCTGGTTGGGGAGGAGGCAGTAGTGGGCCAAAATTGGTACTC